ACGGTGGGGGGTAGTGGGGGGAGCGACAGAGTGCATGAGATCACGTGAGGCGTCAGCAGAGATGGCTAGACGCGGGTGCGATCCCGCTGGGTTGAATCCTAGCCTCTCACTTGCTATGTGACCTTGGGTACGAGAGCAAACTTCTCTGAGTTTGGAATCGCCTCGTCTGTAAAAATGGAGATGATCCAGTCCTCCTGGCAGGCGGCACCTGGGCTTTGGGGCTCAAACGTGGGCATCCTATGGGCTGAGCCCTGGGGTGTCACACAGCGCTGGTCAGATCCACAAGCCAGCCATGGTGAGTGGGCCCCTCTCGCTTGCTTCTGAAGCCTGAAGTTCAGACGGCCCAAGGGGCCTCCTGTTCATGTTCCTAGGGGCTGAAGGGGGTCCCAGCCCCTCCTTCCTCAGACGGGGATGCCGAGGCTCAGAGAGGGGACCCGAACCTGCACAGGGCCACGCGGCTGCAAACTTACATAGTCGCACATCAGTGAACTGAAAACCGTTCACCATCCCGGTGAAACTGATGAAGATCTGCCCAGGGAAATGGCTTCCTGACCGTTGTCCACAAAGCATCCTGGATGCTATGATGAGCCGTGTGCCCGTAGCTGCACCTGGAATAGTCATCCACCTGCAAGGGGTCTCTCCTTGCCCATCCGTCCAGTGGCTCCTCTAACCTCTGACAAGCCAGCCCAGAAGATGGACAGACCCAAGGAGACCCAAGATCAATCCCAGCAGAATGCTGAGGGCAAGGTTGCCACGGGTGGGCTTGTGGGAGGAGGTGACGGGGAGCCTAGTTAGGCTGAGCCTTGGACATGGGGCGTGGGCAGGTGTCTAGTGGTTACAGGGCCTGATACAACTCGGGGTCATGAGTACTCAGCTGCCACCTGTCCAGGTCCGGCACACCTGCCTTCTCCCTGTGTGCCTTCTCTCTCTCTCTCTCTAATATACACACAGCACACACTCTTAAGGCCAGCCAATGCCAAGTGCCAGGCAGGTCCCTAGAAGACTCCCACGCCTGCAAACCCTCACCAGGGCAGAGCTGCTGGAGCAGGTAGGGTTACTGGTTCCCGAAGCTAGGGTCCTGGGAGATTGTCTCATCCTCTTTGTGAGTAACGATTTGATATTATACACGTCACTTAATTTCACTAGGCCTCAACTTCCTGAAATGTAAAATGGGCTCATGTGTAATGCCTTGGCTTGTGACGGTCAAGAAAATCCCTGAATACGTGAAGGGACCTTTTAAACGGGTGGTTCTCAATCTCAGCTGCACATGGGATCCTGGGACCTCTGAAATCTACTGATGGCTGGTCCCATCCCAAGAGAGGCTAATTCTAATGGGTCTTGATAGCATCCCAGGGATGTGATACTGGAGACTCCTCTCTCCCTCCTCTTTCCCACTCAGTACAACTGAAAAGCCCAAGAACAATAGGGCAGACAATCACAGAACTCTGGAGGGAAGAGAGAGGAAGGTGGACCGGCCAGAGACCTGAGGACTTGAGGAAATATGCAGGACCAGTGTCTCTCACGTCCCATGCAGTGGACAAGGTGACCAAGTAGATGACTGCCCTCCCTGGTACCCAGCAGCCTGGGGAATAGGCCCAGGGAAACACTCTCCATCCATGGCTGGTGTCTCCCACCCGCACCTCGGGGTACAGGGCAACCAGGGAAGCACCTTTCACCCCAGGTTGCTACCAGAAACACCAGGTGGACGCAGCAGACCAGAAGAGCACTTTAACGAGCATTCTGAAAACTAAACTGACTTTGGACTCACAGCCCATAATAAGCCATGCCCCACATGTCAAACCTAAGCACAGGGACAGCCTGCTGACATGGAAAACTTAGCTAGGATCCAGGTCTCCCAACATAATATCCGAATGTCCAGGATGCAGTGGAAAATCACCCATCACACCAAGAACCATGAAGATAACTATTTGAATGTGAAAAGGCAATCGACACATCCTAACACAGAAAAGAAGCAGATACTGGAATTATCCTGAGAAGGATTTTTAAGGCAGTCATCACATATCTGCTTCAACAAACAATTGCAAATACTCTTGAAACAAATGAAAAAGAAAAAAAGAAAATCTCACAGAAGAAATACAAGTTATAAAAACAGTATCCAGTGGAAATGACGGGCAAGAAAAATAAAATAACCAAGATTCAAAAATTCACTGGATGGGTTCAGTAACAGAATAGCGGGATTTGTCAGAGGAGAGAATCAGTGAACTTGAAGATAGAACTACAGAAATTATCCAACTTAAACAGCAGAGAGAAAATAGCAGAAAAGAATGAACAGAGCCTCAGAGACCTGTCAGACAACACTTGTATCACTGGAGTCCCAGAAAGAAGAGAATGGGTCTGAAAAATATTCAAAGAAATAATGCCTGAAAACTTAACAAATTTGGCGAAAGCCATAAACGTCACATGCTCAGGAAACTGAGTGAACCCCAAATAGAATAAGCTCAAAGTAATCCACACCAAAACACACCATAATTAAACTTACAAAAACTAAAGACAGAAAAAAATAATACTGAAAACAGCCTGATAGAAAAGACATATTATACTCCCTACTGGGGACACCAACGCAAATGACAGCCAATTTCTCCCCAGAAACCGTGGAGGCCAGAGGAAGATGGCACATATTTAATGTGCAGAAAGACATTTGCTGTGGATGTGAATTCTATCTCGGATGGAAATCTTTCAGGAATGAATGGAAAATGGAGACATTCTCAGACAAAGGAGAACTAAGACAAGTTTTCACTCGCAGACGTACTTGGCTCAAAGCAGTTCTCCAAACAGAAAGGAAGTGATCAGAGAGCTCAGAAATTCAGAAAGGAAGAACACCAAAGCAGGTTAAAATAGGGGTCGGTGTAACAGACTATCCTTCTTGTGATGAGTTTCTTAAATCATTGATGGTCGAAGCAAAAATTGTTACACCATCCGATATGGAAACTCAAGGCAGGTCAAAGAAAGAGCGAAGACAGTCATAGTTGATGAGTGAGGAAGATGAAGTGGCCTGAGTGGAAGGAAGGTCTCTACACCTACTGTGAGACCAGAGGCCGGCAGCCTGAGCACAGGGGATTTTAGAAGCTGGCTAGGTGATTGCAGTGCATCCGCGTAGAGAACCGCTGGTTTAGAGCAGGTAAGGCTGGAGGTGAGGGCATAGTTGTTCTCGGGGCCCTCAGGGTTTCCAAGCCTTAGTGTGTATCAAAATGCCCTGGAGGGCTTGGAAAACACAGACCGCTGGACCCCAGCCCCAGAATTCTGAGTCTGCAGGTCTGGGGTGGGTCCTGAGAATTTGCCTTTGTAGCAAGCTCCCAGGCGTGGCTGGTGAGCTTATTATTGGAGACGCCACTTTGAGAAGACTACTGTGGCATCCCTGACTGATCAGGAGCTCCTGGGTCTCAGCTGAGGGTCCCTTAGATCCTCAACCCGACAGCCTCACATGCCCAGGTGTGCCTGGCTCTGGGTGTAAATTGGGAAGCAGGTGTGTCCCGGAGGGACCTCAGGACTGTAAGTCAGGAGGCCCTTGTCTTGTGTCCCAGGGCTGGGTGACCTTGGGCAGGTCCCTCTGTGTCCCCGGGCCTCAGTTCCCCTCCTGTGAAATGGGAGGAGCTGGCTAGGTCACTTACCTGGCGGAGCCCAGGGCAACCAGGAGGGTCGAGGGATGCCCGGCAGGCCTGGCCCGAGCGTCTGGCCCCGCTTCTCTCCCTCCAGCTCCGCTCTCCTGTTTCACGTATTGCAGTTTTCACATAGATTTCCTGTGACAAGAGGGCTCCTTGGCCAAAACCAGTTTGAGAACCCTGCCCTTGATGTTTTGAAAGGCCCTTCCTGACCCACATCTGGAACCTTCCCACAGACTGCCCTGGGACAAACAAGTCCCCGAGGCAGGTCCCCAGCTGAGGCCTTTCCTAGGGGTGTGACCTGTACAGAATGTCTTCTCTGACCCTCCACCCCACAAGACAGGCGCCTGGATCGACCAGCATCCTGTGCTCAGAAGCGGGCCTTCCTGGAGTGGGCGGGTGGGTGGACGGACAGGCAGTTCTGTGCACAGCACCCATCTCACCTTTGGAGGCTCAGTCCTCTGGTTTACAGCCTCGTGAACACAGAGGGGTGGGACCCACCGTCCCCTCTGAGCCCTCGCGGGCAGCCCGGTGGCTCCCAGGAGCCAGTGCTATGACCTGAGCTGTGGGGGACAGGGACCCCCAGATGCAGCAGACATGGCCCCTGCTTTTTACGGGCCCACAGGCTATGGAAAGACAGTTCAGGCAGTCAGGAAAGGCCTCCTAAGGGTGCTTCTAAGGGTGGTGGAGGTCCCCTGCCCCTCCAGGCGGCCCAGGCTGTGCCCCTTGGCCTCCCGTCTGGGGCACATCCCACACTGACTTCTGAGCCCGGAGTTTCTGCTCTGCTCTCTCCAGACGTGGCATTGAAGCAATTAACTGGGGTCTCCAAGTCCTGGGCACCCCCAGAGCAGCCAGGGATGTGGTCAATGGAGGGAGACCAGCTGTGGGATTCCCACAGGGAATCCAGGGCCCAGTGTCTCAGACTGGCCCTTTGAGAAGCTAGAAATTAGGGTTTTAATGTGAAATCCCCCAATTGCAAACAGCTCAAGGGTTTTGAAAAAACAGTCTGCAGGCCACCTCTGGTGGTGCTGGGCCTCCGCTGGCCACCTCTGGCACAGGATGGCACAGCCCTACTCTGCATGGGGGCCCCTTCCTCCCTCTGCCTCCCGCTCTCCTGGTCAGCCAGGTGAGGAGCTTGGCCCGGTGATAGAGGCTTCCAGAGGATGCAGGTGCCTGCCAGGCCGGGTCAGGCTCCGTGACGTTCCTGGTGTCATGGGCGGGCTCGGGGACGTCCCCCACTTCCTGGCTTCATCCTCAGTCAGTGCCCTGGGGATAGAGGTCTCGAATGAGGCAGGTGGGATCTTCAGGGCCATCCCATGTCAGCTGCGCAGCCCCGCCGACCTGGCTGCGTGCGTGACAGCTGTGCTGTGTCTGTTTCAGGGTTCCCCTATTCCAAGTCTGACCCTGTCCCAGGACATGGCAAGAATGGCTTGGACCACCGGGTAGGTACTTGGCCCCGCACGCCCTCCCCAGCACATGCGCACTAACGGCCGCCGTGAGCTAGGGCGGCTCCCACAGCTCGGTGACCACACGGCCAGGAGGACGGGCCCTGGGGACCCTGCTCACCCACCCACGTCTGCCTGCTGCTCCACCCAGGGCCAGACCACCACCCAGCAACACCCCTTCTCCCCTCTGCTCCCGGCCCCCAGCCCCCAGGGAGACCTCAGCGTCAGGGGCCAGGGGCAGCGGGGCCACCCAGAGGAATCAGACCCTCTTTAAGGCCCTCCTGACCGTCATTCTCCTGTGACCTAGAGCCTAATAAGGATCTTAAAGGATGGAGGGGTTTCGTGAGCCATGTGGGCCCAGAATCCACTTCCTTCCCTGGAGCGCCCTTCCTCCCCGGCCCCCAGTGTTAGTACCATCACCATGGTTACCACTGATGATGCCCTTAGCACTGTGACCGTTACTGGGGCCACACCAAGGGGCCGGCTTTCTCTGCCCACTCCCAGCCGAAGGCTGCTTTGACTGCCCCCTTCCCAGCTCTCTGAATCCGGGGACACGACAGCGAGAGCCCAGACAGCGTGGTGCCTGACTTGTCCCCCGCAGCTGGGCCCTCGTGTTTGTCCCTCTCGCCACAGCTTTGCTAGGTCTCCGGTGAGGACCCCTCAGGTGGAGCGGGCGTGATGACACCAGACCCCCCGCCAACCCCCCGCCACACACACACACACACACACACACACACACACACACACACTCACCCAGGAGACTTGCTACCACTGAGGCAGCCTTTTCCCGGTCGGAGGAAGTTTGTCCACAAACCGAGCCCATTCACCCTCCAAGAGAAGCCACTCAGACCTCAGTCCCCGTGTGTTGCCCTGGGGCGGTCCCAGCAACAAGTGTGTAACGCAGGGGACAGCGACCCCTCAGACAGACCTCAAATCCAGGGTCCAGGCCGTGGGGCACACCCAAGAACAGGGACGCCACCACGGAAGCTGCGGGTGTCCTTGGGCCTTTCTGTCATTCTCGAGCTCTGTGGGCCCTGCTGCTGTGTGTGTCCGGGGGCCCAGGTGCTTCTGCATGGTTTGCTCAAGGGAGCCCCGCCCATCCCACTAACCAGTCCCCCCCAACCCGTTTATTCAGAATGGGCCGAGCTGGAATGGCACGTAGCATGCTTCTCTGAATTCCCTTCTAAGGAAGGATGCAGGGGACATGAGAAAGCAGGAGTCCACAGAGCTCCCACAGCGCCGGGGAACGTAGATCCTTGGGCTCAGCGTGAGGGTGCCGAGGGCAGTAGCACCAGTCAGAATGTTCTCTGTTCACCTGGCACGGCTGTTCTCTGACTCCAGGGCCGTGAGTGCCGAGGTCACAGACTGGGCCATGTCCATGCCAAGGCGTTCCACTCCCCAAGCCAAGTCCTGGGGTTTCTCTCAAAATGTGGGAGACAAGAGCATGAACGTCAGCACTTCCAGGCTTGCGTCATTGGCGGCCGGGCATCCTCTAGGGAGAGTCCCTTCTTGGTTGCCAGGCTGGAAGGACATGGGTCGATGGCTCCCAGCACCTGTGAGGAAGGCGTGGCCTCTGGAGGCTCCACCCCCAAGGAGTCTGGGAACAGCTGATCCAGACACTCTGGCGGGGACACCGTCTTCAGGCCTCTCCTAGAGCAGAGAGCAGATTCTTAAGCTTTACAGAGTCAGAGCTGAACCCTCCGGGAATGTTTCCCCTGCTGGCCTCAGGGTGGGGAGCAGAGTGTTAGAAAGCCTGTGAGTGAGGCCTTCTGCACATCTTGGGGAGTCGATAAAGATGGAATTCATCACCACATGAGGATTTTTAGCTTTTCACATTAGAATATCCAGGAGATTGATAAAAATTATTGCTGACTTTTTGGGGGGGGGATTCTTTTTTCCCTACTGATGTTCTCTCCTATTTTTTTTTTCTTCACTCTTTCTAAGACTCTAATGTAATCGTATGCCTGTTTCTCAGCTGAAAAGCCAGATAATTTGATGGCCAGGCTTTTACAGCTCAGCCATGTCAGATTAAGTTGTTTCTTGGTTTGTTTTTACTTTCTGAAAGGATTCCAGGTGACCTAAAGTGAAAGTCCAGATGCAGAGTGACCAAAAACCCAGTAACACCAAATCCCAAAGGAGAGGAAAATAAAGCAGGAGGAGAAAATTATATCAGAGACACACAGAACACTGTATGGGAAAAACCACTGACGCTTAGCTGTGAGCTTCCTGAGCGTGACCGGTTGTGTAGTTCTCTTATTGTCAAATGGAAGGAAGGAAGTCAGTAAATCAGGGGAGGCAGAGATGTGCCTGGTTCTTGTTCTGGAAGGGATTTGTCACAAGGGGCCAGCACCATATGTCCCAAAGCTTGTTAAAATGTCCTGATAACTAGCCCGCCACAGAGCCTGACACATGGTAGATATTCACACCTCTCTGTAGAATGAAGAGGGAAACAGCCACCTACTAAAGGCTTTCCTGTGGATGAGACAGCATTGGTTCCAACATGTGCCACCCGGTCTGCTATTAAGAGACTGACCGCTGGTCACTGACAGACCCACACGGTAGCCCCTTGGAAGGAGTCCCATTTTGAAAAACCCTGATGCTAGATAAGAACAGACTGAATTTTCCTACTAAATGACAAAAACTGTCAGGTTAGATTTTTTTTTTAAATAAAAGAAGAAAAACATGTATCATCACGAGATAAACACAAATTCTTTTTTAATGGATTAGAAGTCAAAGGATGGGAAAGAGATACCAAAATCACAAGTAGAAGGAAAGCATGAGTGGCAGTATTAATGTCAGATAAGGTAGACGTTAAGGTTAAATAAATTAGTAGAATTAAGAAGGAACACTAGTTCATGACGACACAAGTTATAAAGCAGTTAACAGCATTCATCAGTTTAAACTCGCCAAGCAACATGGCAATGCCAGAGACCTTGATAAAACTCAAGTATGGTAAGCCATTTGAACATGACTCTTTTGAAAGCAGACATGGATCTAGTGGAGAAAAAAAGTATGGAGATCAATTTAATAGTGCAAACACAGAACTTAATCTAATAGGCATATGAAAAAAATTCATATATTTTGAATCGGGTTTTCACATATCCACAAAACATTAATAAAAAGGTTTTAGGTATGTATGTCACTACAAAGAAAACCTTAACAAATTTTAAAAGTCGGATATGCTGGAAAGAACACATGCATTATCATCAGGCAGCCCCGAGTTCAAATCCCAGCTCTGCCACTTCCTGGGTGTGTGTTTGGGCAAAAGTTATTTAAATTCTATGAGTCTCTATTTCCTAGTCTTTAAAAAAATTATCCTTACCTCTTAAGGTTATTGCCAGGACACATAACATTATAGCTGTTAAATCTTCTAAGTTCTATAGCGTAGTTCCCAAACGAATAGTTATCATAAAAACAAGTCTCTACTCCTTCTTACTTCCACCTCAGTGGCTAGTGAGTAAAATGGCACACTCCAGTGTGAGCTTTAGCAAGAAAAGAACAATGGTGAAATGGCCACGATTTCCTTCTCACCGTTATCAATCCCAGTATAATTTTTGAAAAGTAAAATGCACGGGTTAATTTTTTTACAGTTGCATATATTAGCTGTGTGACCTTGGGCAAGTTGCTTCACGACTCTGAGCCTCGGCTATTAAATGGTGATAATAATCACCACTTGGCATTTAGAAGGCCAGGAGTAGAGAGCGCTTTCCCTGCTCTGGACTGACACGGTGACCCACCCCCTCCACCCGGGGGACGCCCCACCCTCCCTCCCTCCTGAGAGCCTCTGTCTAGTCTCAGAGCCTGGCGGACCAGAGGAAGCCGGTTCTGCTGCCAGGAAGTGGGTTTCCAACTGCCCAAGGTGGTGGCGGTGGCCGTGGAGTTTACAGCCTGTGATGCAGGGCATCGGGCACTAGGGGGCGGCATTTCTCTTTCGTATCGCGGCCGGGCCAGGTGGGAGGCAGGTTTGCCTTGCTTTATGCAGGAGGGTCCCTAACCAGGCAGGTGCACGGGGCGGGGGGTGGGGGTGGGGGGGTCCTTGTCAGTGGCCTGAGAAAATGTCTGCAAATATTGCTCTTGAAAACTCCCAAGGGGAATCATTCAGTCAAGTGGAGGAGGTGCAGGGTCACGGAGAGTCACCGGTGGGTGAGGGGCTGCCGGGCTCTGGGGCCAGTGCTGGGACTAAGCTGAGGCCTTCAGGGCACTTACCAAAGGACTCAGTAATCAAGGTAAACAAGGTAATACAATGTTTTGAAAAATCCAAATTAATGGAAAAAAATCCATGATGGACAAAGTATCGGAAACGTAAAGACCAGCTCCGACCCTCCAGTTAGGGGCTTACCCGCCTCGCCGTCTCTGGGCCTCAGTTTCCCCTGTTCAGGATGAAGGACTTTGGACTCGGTGCTTTCGGAGGCCTCGTCCTGCCCCCGCGCTCGCTAGGACTCTGACCAGCTCCTGGCTTATCACCTCTTGCAGTAAATTAGTGCTGAAAGCTCTTTCC